TATATATATATATATATATATATAATACTATTGTTAATTATATACATACATACTGCACATGTATATAAATATATGTATATATAAATGCCTATATATACACATATCTGCACTACATACGTAGATATACGTATGCAAATGCAGCTGCGATACTTAAGTAAAACTGGAAGGTGCGCATGCAACATAGGGTGCCACCTCACACACCACACACTTTCCTGCCTACTTTCGCAGACGCACTTTCGGTGTTTCTCTATGTACACCAGTGTCCAAATACCTCCACCTGTGCGGACCGGCACCATGGGGTGTACATACACGGAAACAAAGCAACCGACCTCAAGAGCGGGTCGCCTGCTAAACACAGCGCTGCTCAAATGCGTATACTGGCAATGGTGCAATGAGCAGGCATGCGCCTAGACAGACAAATGCCTGCACGTATCTATTGTTGCACAGGCGCTGGCACATCCAAGAACCGCAACGCACGCATCCTTGGATGCATGCGTGCATGCACCCAGTTGTGCCGACCTGCATGCAAATGTGCATGCATGCTCCTATTGCTTTAGCAATAAGATAATGTCAGGACTGGTATTCATCCCAAGCCCGGACCTCCCAGAAGCGCTGGCGTTCTTGCTCACGGTATATTTTCTTGGCGATACTCTCAACAAAGAGAGCAGCTACCTTCAAGTCGGTCAACAGCGGCACTGACAACAGAAACAACAAACAGGCGAGTACATCGCGGTGTTGGGCAAACAGGCAATCAATGCTGCATCTTGTTTTAGTGCACCAAGCTCGGGCTCCGTCTTTGGGTTATCCCCGCCTCTCAGGCAAATGAACAAACTCTTAGGACTAAATCCTATTTAAGTTATTCGCGCTTTACACCACACTCGACAACAGACACACCAATAGTACAAGAGAGGCCTTGGGCCCCCTACCGCATCTACTCACAGGAAACAACCAAACAGAGGCAAGAAGCAATCAGCAGACACTAGAGACAAAAACTTAACACACTCCTACCTCCAGCATCTATCGCTGCCCGCCTAATGAGATACCCCGAAGATATCGCGCGGTGGTTCGTCTGTCCAGGCACGTTTATGACCATCTCCACAAGGCCTACATATGCACGCACACGTACACATACACCAGAGAACTAGCAGCAAGCGAGAAGCAGCACAAGCAAACCCGGCAGCAGAGAAACTGCAAACTGTCCAACCACCCGCTGAAGAAGAGTGTCGCTTCCCAGTGCTACAGTAGCGCTAGCGGCATTTTGCGGGGGCATCAATAAAACTGCAGTAACAGTGTGCACCTCTCTTCGAACTAGGTGGTTTCTTCCGTTCTACTGAATGAGCTATCTTGCACCTGTCTGCTTCTGCTGCTGTGCTTTGTAGTGGCTGGGTGAAGGTTTCGTTTGCTTCTCTTCTGTGTCTCTTTTTCGTTGTGTGTTTGTAGTGTTGCGTCAATTTGGGTGCTTTTAATGATCGCACTCCTCTCTGTTGCTTGTGCAAACACTGATTGGTCACAATGCATATACTGGGGCTGAGCGGCTTACCCTTCTCAATAGCTTGTTTTGCAGTGAGGCGACCGCTGTTGTGCGTCTCCCGTTTACAGACCGGGATAATTTGCGTTTCGAAAGCCTTGAAAGGGGCCCCCTCTGTTGGGGTCCCCGGTGGAAGGTCATCTTCTTCGCTCAGAGCCCCGTCGGCGGGGCTACCAAACAAGGGGACCCCGTTGGGTGGACCCCGCTGGCTGTCTCCCTTTTCCACCCGAGAAGGTAATAGCCCCCCCCAGGGCCCCTCGCCCTCCAGTTCTTCTTCAGCCACTTCATCAGAACCGACTTCGGAAAGTCTTTTAATTCCTCCTATCAAGAAGGCAAAGGTACCTAGACACCCCAAACAACACAGACCTGTCGAACGCCCGTCTGAACCCATCCGTACACCACACACGCAACAGCAAGTGCTCCAGCAGCACCGAGTTCGACATACCAGAAATACAGCTGCAGCGCTAGCAACACACAACCAACCAATCATGCGAGCAGAAAGAATACCCGACACAACAGAAGCACACAGCAACGGCAACAGGGGCGGTGGCAGCAGGAGCACTCATGACAGCAGCAGCAGCAGCAGCAAGAATATCACTAGCAGCAGGAGCAGCAGAAAATAACGAGGGTCGCAAAATGACTGCCAAAAGCAACAGAAACAGCTGTAGCGCAGCCACCAGCAGCATCAGGACGAGCACCATCACCAGTAAAAGAAGCACCCAAACCCGCATGAGCGGCAGCCAGACCACTGCCACCAGATGCAAGAGCACCAGCAACATCAGCAGCGACAGGAGAATCAGCAGGGAAAGCTGCAGCGAAATCAGCATCAGTAGGAGCAGCAGCAAGAGAAGACTCAGCAGCAGCAGGAGTAGCGGCATCAGCAGGCGGAACAGACCTTCTGTGGCGTAAATTGTAAATCCAAGGCGGAGGAGTCGGAGTGCAAAGGGGAAGAAATCCAATTTCGACCAAAGAGGGCCTGAAGAAGGGAGAAGAAAGAAACAGCAAAAAGACAAAATAATACAAAGCCTCACCTACTCCCTGCAAGTTGCCCTTAAATGCAAAGATATCAGCACACAATAAAGAAGGCAGAAAACCAACGAAAACGAAGGCGCATAAGCACGTAGAGGCACACAGCCACAAACGCAGCCGAACAGACCCACAAGCTGCTCTTGCGGCTCATGCAGCAGCAGCAGCAACAGCAGCAGTGCAGCAGCTCAAGTGCATGCAATCCTTGCGTGTGGCTTCGAGAGATGCCGAAAAACGATGATAAGCTCAACAATGGAAGAAGAGCAGCAGTAGGAAAGCAACAGACAAGCAAGCAAAGTGAGAACTGGATGCAACGGGCAAACCTGTAACAAGCAAGATAGAACGCTTCTCTAGGGGCAGGCAGAGACCCGAGGAGACCATCGCCTTTAGGAAGGCCTCATGCTTATCTCGGCCAAAGCAAGCCACCTGCAGCACAACAGCTGCTGCTACCGCGGTATCGCTGTTGCTGCTGCTGTTGCTACTGCTGCTGTTGCTACTGCTGCTAATGTTGCTGCTGCTAGTGCTACTGCTTCAGACTGATGTATGCAGTTACCTCTCCTGTACTTCTCATTTCGACGCCAAGCAAGGGGTCGCAGCCGCGGAGTCTGCTGAAGGAGAAGACGGGAACTTTAACGCAAACGAACTCCAACGCTGTCAGGTGGATAGCCTCAGCAGACACCGGCGCACCCACCATGACCCTAGCGGCAAAACCACCAGCAAACGCAATAGCAACAGCAGACAAAGCAATACAAGCATCAACAGCGGCGATATTCAGTCAGACACGCGGTCACACCGAAGTCATCGACCCGAGGCGCCTGCTGTCCTCCAACAGAAGTGCCCAGCCGCCGTTACGACGCCTGAAGCAGCGGCAATAGCAGCAGCAACAGCAGCAGCCGCAGGTGATATCTGACTTTGTGGCTTGCTCTATGAAGTCGACACCGAAACATTTGCTGATAAATGGGAATGTCCGCGAAGCCCTCAAGTTGCATTCGATGATTTTCACCTCGTTGTTCTTGCAAATAAACTGAATGTTAAATGGACCTGAGCAAAATATCAACTAAAAACCCTTAAGCCTAAACTCTAAATGCTAGACTCTGATGATATTGTAAAACATCAAGCGTAAACGAGCAGAACCATGAGGAGTCACACAGGAACCTCTAAACCCCAAACCCTAATTCACGCGGCATGGCGTCGAAGCCCCAGACTCAGCATTAGACCCTCATACGGCACCACCAGCAAAATGCCCACTCCACAAAGCAGCCAGAAGCTATGCGCCTTGTAGTGCACCAGCAAAGCATGCAAGAGACTCAGAATCCGCAGCAATAACAGCAGCAGGTTAATACCTGAAACATTAAGAGCCCTAGCAAGCCTCTGTGCAATCTTCTGGACCCGTCTGCAGATCACCACATAAGATCCTCCGTGCTGCTATATCCACTGGTGCTGCAACACATGTTGCGGCTGTCGCTGCCGCTGCTTTCACTCTTTTGTTGTTGCCGCCGTGCTGTTGTTGCTACTGCTGTAGACCCTCACCTGATTGTCTCCACGTAGAGCTTCTGTGCTGGAAGAATCAGGGTAGCGTCTCCTGAGTGGGTCCCTGCGGGCCACATGCAAGCAACACCAGACAGGCGACAGAAACGAATGTCTAATCTTGTAAGCGTTAAACCATAATATGCTAAACCACACACTAAACCCGCCTCCGCAAACCCTAGCACGCTAAATCCTTGAACGAGCACCGACGTGCAGGCAAAACAACTTGCCAGAATGGCTAAACGCGAAGCGTTCTATCGCTAATCCTAAACACCAAGCCATCTTCTAACCTGCATTTTCAACGTGCTCGCTGATGGCGTAGTTTAGGATTTCTCCATTATGGGCAACACTGTCAAACTCGACCTGCAGACAAAACGAAACAGCAGAGGCAAAAAGGGACACGTCTAGGGCTGTTGCTCTGTTTCTGCTGTTGCTGGTGTGTCCACGGAGCCAGCGGCACAGCAGTGTTGTGCACATGACAATGTGTGTAGTGCTTGCAGGGCAGAGCGAGTGGCGCTGAGTTCTAGGCATGCAAATGGCACTGTAACACCAAAATATCAGGCCCGAAACCGAAGACCCTGATCGGCCTGCAGCATTGCATGCAAGAGCCATTGGATAAAGAGGAAAACCATTAACCAGCAAGCAGTTTAACCATTTTCAGGAGGAGAAGGTCTTTGGTCAAGAGAGACAAACCTCTTTGGCATTGCTGATGAACTTGGAGATGACTACAGGGCTGTCTCCCGATACAACCGCAGCAACCTGAAACAAGTCACCTAGCAAAGAAACCCTTATGCCCTGGGTTTGGGCTCGTATGCAATGGAAACCGCAACGAATAGCAGCAACAGCAACTACAGCAGCAGCCGCAACAACAACCCAACCGACGGCAACAACAACGAACGCACCTGCAAGAACTCCTTCAGCTGCTGGTCGTTCATTACTACGCGCATCGCTGCACCGCTCAACACATAGGAAGGCCGCACCAGCACGGGGAACCCGACCTGCAGCAAACACAGCAACAACAGCAGCAATACACATCGCAGCAGCGGTGGCAGCTGTAGCCATAGGAAGCAAACGTCCAAACGTCTACCGGGGTGAAAAAACGAAGGCAAAGACAGAAGCATCTCCACACATTCGGAGTTTGTTTGTTTTGTTTTGTCCACAAAACAACCAGGGAGTATGCAGTTATATATATATATGTATATATATATATATATATATGTATATATAT